GTTATATTAAATAACCCCTTATCCTAATAATCAATCTACTGTAAACGAGAATGTGCAACATTGTTAATCAATGTATAACATGTTTTAAAGTGGAAAAAAATAGTATCAGCTTTATGTAAGGGTTTTGTTTTGAAATTGGATTACAGCAGTACAATAATTGTACGTCAGTATCCTTACCTTTGCGTTCAAGAGGCCACTTTTCAAGTGTCATTATTCCAAAACACGTGCTCTTCGACCTGCACTACCGCCATTTTCCACAAGTGACAGCAGATCTGTAAAATCCAATTATGCTTATTCAGCATTTTATATTTGGCTTCATACTAGACACTATTCAGCTATCCCACGCACATACCTTACTCGAATGAGGTTAATTGCTCCCTTAATTCACATGTTTAAATTCCTACATTTATTAATCTAATTCCGTGTGCACTACAAAATAACTGACAGCACAAACATTTCGTTTGTTTTGCAATAACAAAGGGAGTTAATAAAAATAGATCAGATACAACAAATGAAATTACCTCCCTTTGGCCACAAACTGAAGACTAATGTGTCCCATTCTTAGAGTCGCGTAATTTTTCTAAATTTGAGTCTTGTCAATAGATGTATATGTTGCTTGTTATTTACTGTACAGGTCTATGTTTGTCTATTTTTTTTGACCACATATTGAAATGTCTGGATTCTTCAAACTAACACATTTATCTTAAATATCAGTATAGTGTGAGTAAAGAATGAAGTCCTATGTTGTAAATATCTCAAATTGTTTATGTATTAAAATTTTGAAAATTTTGGAGGGTAATGGGGTGTAGGACAATTATATTTAAACAATTATAATTTAAGTTGTTCTCAGTGAGGCTATATTCTCCAACATGAAAAAGATTGCAAGATAAAGAGAAAATCAGGAAATACTAAGGATTTATAGTGGAAGGGGGAAATGTAATCAATTAAGGAATCTGAAAGTGGAAATAGAAATTTGAAAACCCCTGATCTAACCCTTTTAGTTTCTATACAAGGTTTTCCTCTCTCGGTTCATTTATAGCTGAATACATTACTATTATCAAGTCTTTACATGGAATAAACTCTATTGACTGTTAACCTAAATCCTGCTTTGATTTCCATCACTCTCAATATATGTGGACAGAAGACAAACAATTTGAAAAAAAAAATCTTTATTTGAAACAATTATAGCCTTAAAGAAATTATAAGTAAAACAAGACACTGCATGAAAAGCAAAAGCGCAAAATTGAGAAAATGAAAATGATTAAAAAGGCATTATGATGGCATGGTATTATTAAATATTGATTTACATAAAATACAAAATGAAATATGATAGAATTTCCTCATACATTGAAATTGAGAAGTTCACTTTATTTCCTTCTTCCTGTATGTATAATGATATCTGAAACTGAGGTTATAGAAATACACATTACTTATGATATACAGAACAGTGTATTGTACAATTACTGTAGGCTGTTTTTACAGTAACAACTAAAGATGCAATATTTTTATGTTCTGGTTGCTTAATTATTTAATTTATGAATAAAAATAAACTCATGCAGGGTTAATAACCCAAGAACAGCTAAATTATATCTATCAAAAAAAAAAACAATTTTTGTTCAAAACCCTTTGATTCATATTTTAACAAGTTTTCATTTGCGTTGAAGAGTTTCCAAATTCATGCTGTCATTTCAAAAGAATTTGTCTGAACAAAGGCAGAAAAAGGACAATTTTAACATTTCTTTCATATATTTCTCATTTGTAGGGTAAGAATCTCACTGAGGTCTATTTGGAATGTATGGTAACTAGGATAAGGTATCAACAAATTAACAAACTTATAATAATAAATATATACTGCAGACATATTGTAACACATCTGTATAGTAAATTAATGTTTATTGAAAGGTATACCACCTCTAAGCATGACCAAAAAGTTGAATTTTTAAGCGTGGTTAAAATAAGTCTTTTTTCATCAGTGGACTTAGCTGGTGTCATAACTATACAGAATTCAATCCCTCTATAATCCAATAAATCCATAAAACTAAGTAATAATGCACTATTACATTATTTTGTTTTATAGATATATCGTCATGTAGAGATTCTATTCTATAGTCATGGCACCTGATAAAAATTTAATGTCCATTCTAAGAGGTAGCATCCTTAAAAGATTTCTCTGGTTTAACTGGGCAAAGTTTCAATTGAAAATCACCAAGGAAAACAATTTTTTCCAGATAAATATGTCTGCAGTATTAAAACACATTTGTTAGTATTAACAAATTTCATGCAAACAATAATAACCTAATAAATAAATATAGAAATTGTTAGAAAAGGGGTACAGAACATTGTAATACATTTCCTTCAAAATTTATAACCGAACTGACTATTGTGATTATGTGTACATTGAAAAAAGATCTATTGAAAATTATAATAGTGAAAATGAGATTGTTAATGATAATTCACAATTATATACCCTTCAACCAGATGATACTATTTACAACATCTGTATTGTTGTAGAAGATGGGTTTTTAGATTCCATTTACAACATCTGTATTGTTGTAGTAGATGGGTTTTTAGATTCCATTTACAACATCTGTATTGTTGTAGAAGATGGGTTTTTAGATTCCATTTACAACATCTGTATTGTTGTAGAAGATGGGTTTTTAGATTCCATTTACAACATCTGTATTGTTGTAGAAGATGGGTTTTTAGATTCTATTGACAACATCTGTATTGTTGTATAAAATGGGTTGGGTAAGTTTACATTTCATTACATGCAAAATTGACAACTATATAGTTACAACCACATACCTTGTCAATCATGACAAACAAATGACAACTATCAACTATTTAATTTTAAACTATATGATATTGTCAAGTTTACACTGTCAATAATCTTAGTACTCGCATTTCAACTGTATTATATCGTATTTACATTATTATTCCTAAATTACATATAAAAAGCAAAAGGCTATCAAAAAGTCATTATTAATATACACTGATGATATATATATATATATTATACTTATATATAAAATATAAACAACAAAACAATAAATAACAAAAACTGACAATAAGTTGATAAATATTTGTTGGGAATGAACTAATATATTCTCAGTAGCACAGTAAAATAATCAGTTTACATCATATTTCTGTACACAATTGGATATTTGTCCCTATTATATTGCCTAAAAACTTTCAAGTCACAAATATATGGTTACTAAACTAACAATTATTAATAAAACTCTTAGAAATATTTCCTCATTTTCATAATTTCTTCAATGTGGATATCATATAATCAAATGTCTGCATTTTTCCTTCCTTGACATCAAGATAAAAGTCTTTTATGTTAATATATTTAAGTCAAAATCAAACATCAAAGTTTTGTGCTGTGACAGACCTAAACTGTGTCCAAGGTTAAATAAATTTCACTGTTATCTTTTAAATTTACCCTATATCAAAAATCATCAAGCACCAAATTGCAAAAAGATTGTTATTAAATATTAAATTAACGAAATCAAATGCAATGCAAAAGCTATAGTGAGACAGAGAAAAAGAATACAATCATGGTGATATTGTGAGTATTAGCTATTCTTAAACTGGTAATTTCCAATCAATAATTTAACAGAAAGATCAAGTAATATGCTAAGAACTGAATACTGCTTTTACTACACTAATTTATCTCTAAAATCAAAACAAACCGACAATATAAACTACATAAACTGATATTTTTTAATGGAATCACCCATTCAACCCTATACTAGTAACTAATGGAGGGTAATCATGAATCATGAATCACACAGGTAAACTGGATTTTCTGACAGCTTTGGATAAGATGCTTTATAGTTTTTCATCAAAACAACAAAAATCATACAATTGATTTCTAACTAAATCAATATTAGCTTTAAAGTTTTAAAAATGTAACTCGTTGCAATAAATTCTTGAGGCACATAACAAAATTACATATCCTAACTGCTATCTTTATTATTTTTTACTTAAAAAGGCCAATATATGATTAGCATGGATTATTTGTTAAAATTAATAATGTACATGTTTATTGCTAGTATTGGACAAGTTGAAGTGTAGTTATCTAAAATATAATATGCTATTTTACACTAACATATAAAATAGGAAGCACATTTAGAATACTTATGGCACAAATTTCAATAAGCTTCTTATAGCAAGGCAACTAAATCAAGCAACAACTGAAAGAGATATACATGTCTAAGCACTTGTGTCGGGGCTCTATTTCTCTTCAGCTATAGATCCACAATACTTTTCAGAATAAAAATCAAACATCAGGTTTACCTACAGTTAAATACAACTTACAATATACAATGTATGCCAGACATTGGATGTATATTCTGAATAGTTCTAATTGAGCTCTAACAGCCTTTTAACCAATAGTTAGACAATAATATCAATTCAATGAACAACAATGCTCACACTCAATGACAAATATTTGAGTTTAGGCCAATTATGGCAAATCATTATTAAGTGTTCTATTAGAAATTTCCTTTTCTGTATGATTGATAGTAGAAATGTTTTGGACGCTGTTATTCAAATGGCATTTAAGAAAGATGTTTAGCAAAATATAAATATTACTTTAATATACTTCAGCTGCCCTTTTTTTCTATCCCTTATTTACAATACCTTCACTCTTCACTAAGATACCACAATGCACATTAATATCCCTAATTTTACAATCTTACAAATCTGTTGTGTATTGATAGATAAAAATGCATGTGTGATAGATCTCAATAATTGTTGAGGGGGTCAAATAGATGACTGGCACACTATATCAAGCCGTGCTTGATTAATTGATTACATAAAGTAAAGGCAGTATTTCTATCAGTTACTTGTAGAATGAAAAGCTTTATAATCACTAACAATATTTAAACGTTCCTTTGTTCTAGAAGTTATTGTAAATAAGGGGTTAGATAATAATTAAGAAATCTAGTAGCTATGAAGATATATTGGTCCACTAATCTGTAGAATACACTGGTTTAATTATCAGCTAACATTGATTTTATTGTTTTTGGCGTTGTTTCATCTTGAAGATGTTTTGTGGTGTACCTACAAACAAACATCTCATTAAATAAACTGACATCTTACACTATGTCAAACAAATGAAATCTACTTTTCAGACAGGTACGTTAAGATATTTGAAAAGAAGTTTGAACTGATGGATGGAAAGAATCATATCTTAGAAAGATAACAACTAGACATAAAAATAACAAAGCCTGATTAATGAAATAGCTTACCTGAGAGCATTCATTAATCCATCAACACTACCTGGTGGTTTCTGTTCTTTTAACACTTTTATTGTGCTCTTCATCTGAAATAAAATACATGTTAAATAACAGCTGAATCACACATCAAATAAATTATATCAAATGAACTCATACACAAATCAGCATAAATTGCTGAAGTTCACCAATGTAGAAACATAGATATGTGTCTGGTATGGCTGTTTAATTTTTTTAAAACAATCATTCAAACATGACACTGTTATAAAATATTACATATTATATTTTACAGTAACATATAACTAGCTATGACAAGACTCTTCTAAACTGTTAATGGCATTATATTGTAATGGCTATTTTAGCATTTGAAAAGTAAGAAAAAGACATGACAATATTAAGGACAAACAAAGATGATAAAACTTACGTCTATTCCAGAAATTTTGGCAAAAGCTCCAACAGGATGCACATGGTCATATAATATAATAACACCAACCATGACACGTAGACAAAATAATTTGGTCTCTTGATTCTTAAATCGGGAAAAATGTTCTCTAAAATATACAGAACAGAATATAATTCAAAGACAACCTTCTCAATATTTCATGTTGTCAAGAACTTTACACTCTTGTATTTTGTCACTTTTAAAGATAAAAGTATACTTTTAACTATAATATACAAATTACTTTTAACTATAATATACAATATACTTTTAACTATAATATACAATATACTTTTAACTATAATATACAAATTACTTTTAACTATAATATACAATATACTTTTAACTATAATATACAATATACTTTTAACTATAATATACAAATTACTTTTAACTATAATATACAATATACTTTTAACTATAATATACAATATACTTTTAATTATAATATACAATGTACTTTTAATTATAATATACAATATACTTTTAATTATCCCTTTTCCAATATTGAGTAAAACAGATTCATACTTACTGATTTTCAATCATTACCCTACATAAATTGGCCATTGCACTTAAACAATCTGTTGTCTGTTCAACAGGAAGATATTTATTCTGCAAATTAACACAAGTCAATTATCAAACAGTCTTAGATGAATTAATTTAGCAAATCGCTAGGTATAATAACTTGCAAGAGAGCAGGGCATTGTAACCTTACTAAACCAATGATATTTTAGAACATGGCGGGTCATGATTAGTCCACTTACCCTGTCAGTATATCAAATTGTACCCAAAGTCTATCTTGTCATATTTACCAACCACTTTTAACATAATTTCATTGTATCAATTGTAGAATAACAAAAATAGATTGACAGGGGCAACAGCAATAGAATGTGGGCATATAAAAAATGATTGTTTTCTTAATGAATTCCAAGTAGTCAATATAGGGGAATCAATAATTACATGTATGCTCTATTAAGAAAAAGTCATTTTACTTACTTGAGAAACAAATTTTGCAGTTGTATCACTCAATGATTTTAACATTGGAGTAGGATGGGCGTAAAATAAAGACATTCTATTGGCCATCTCGTTAGATACTTCTAACTGATCTTCTTTATCATCCTATAGATATCAATATATACTTTATGTAATTCAACTTCTATCATTTTCTGATGAATTAATGGTGGGATGTCAATAAAATTTGGCAATTATTCTGTTACTTCCTCTTTGGCAAAAATATTTTCTTCTACAAGCATGATGAGTTTCATTCTGTTTCATAGGTTCAACAAATACACTGATAGAAGTCTGATTTTCCCTTTCAGCTAAAAATTTATATAGTATAAAATATAATACCTCATTAGCCATTTTCCTTCTACTCAGAGTTCTTCTATAATAACTAAAATCATTTTGTATAGCAGGGTTTGTCATCTACAAAAATACAACGCATAAAATAATGAAATGAATAGTAAACTTTGAAAAAAAAATTGGTACAACAAAAAGCTTTTCAATATTTTTGCAATCAAAATTGAACCCTTCAGTTCTTCTTGAGTTTTAAGGTATAATCATGTAAGCAAACTGTAAGTAGTGTAAGCTTACACCAAGTATAAAGCTCAAAATGAAAAAAGATAAAATTTCAACTGACCTTCAAATCATCAAACTTTAAAACAAAGTCTAGTATTTCAGCAAATTGTTTGAATAATGCTTGTTGATTTTCTAAATGTTCCGTAGGAGTCATATCACCTGAACACAGTTCTTTCAATAAATCAGGAACAATTTTTTCTACAAATAGGTATTCAAAAATACAGTTTTACTTTGTTTTAACTAATGAACATATTATCCTTGAATGAACATATTTTGAACACAGCTACCAGAAGTAATAGATGCATGATAAGTACTTATTACACAATGTTATGGTGACAACATCACTAAAATGACTACAGCAATGCAAAACTTACCTAATTTTAAAGAAAATTCATAAAATAATTTTAATTTGCTGACAAGAGGAATGACATCATGCCAAGCTACTTCTTGTAAATCTTCACTACTTGGATTAGAAATGGCCTGTAAATGAAAATAACATTGATAAGTTCTACATTAGTTTTCTTAAATATGTACAAGATAGTGGATCACATCCTAATATGCCCTCTTTAGCAAGCACAAACAAAAAAATGTTACTAAGATCCATGAAATTATTTTTGAAATTAAAGAACTTATTTCGTTTTCTCAAAGGTTCAACTGATATACACTGCTTTTATAGGTTGTGGTCTACAATAACTTTGTTTGGCAGCTTAACCTTCAACATTCAGAATAATTATTGAAATCTATTTCACACTCACATTTCGTATACTTTCTGATGCACCTGTATAATTTCTTAATTTATCTAAAATATCTTCAGCTGACTGAAGAACAGTGTTTACCATAGTCCAAACTATACATTCTTCTTCAGTTGGCTGTGCATCTGAATGGTAAAATAACAATTTATTACATACAATTTGACATTTCCTAACTTAATCAGTCAAGAACAAAACAAAAGCAGACAGCAAGTTAAGTACAAAAGAAAACCTAAACTATCTGTAAACAGGCATCACAGTTTCATCACATAAAAATAAAATCTCAAGAAATAGGAATTTCTACCTACTTTCAAAGTCCACAAAGACATCTGTATTTCTGGACGGTGGATCATAATTTAAAAAAACACGAAGAAGATTCCCCATAGTTGTTACAATAATCCCATTAAGTTAGCTATTCACTTAAAAAGGTTGGATCTTATGTTAAATCTGAAACAAATAATAATTGTATGACAAAAGAATTGGCTATCACTGCCAATAAATCTAGATGTTCCACAACTATAAGCACCTGATCAGCACCTAGAGTCACAAAGTTTCAGCTGTTTGGCCTGACATTGACAGTTAGTCTACACAGGCTAATTATATAGATTTAGGCCTATGATCAACTATGTATGATGTTGATATTACTGATTACATACATTTTTCTTCCAAATGTTGACTTCTTTAGAATCAGTTACTTATAAATCTACCACAAAATCATAATAGACGGTCAGAAAAGTTCAGTTTATGTCTGGACCAATCTTCAATCTGATTTCGATAATCAAGTGAGGATATTAAACCTATCCAACTGATTTCATTCATGATTTTACAAAAGTTTGTCTCATATTATCTTCAAGTGATATTACTTATATTGGGCCCAATAGCTCTATCTCTCAAAAAATGATGACATACAAACCTTATAAAGCAATACCGAGGAGTTAGACAGAAGAAAACATTGACTTCCTTGGTAAATCTTACATTCCATCAGCCATTAATGAGCCAGGTAAGATTTACTTCCGGGGCCACTATTTCCTAATATGGTATTAACTGTTACACCGACCTTTTAACATATTAATCGAAATTTAGAGATCTCTTGGTCTTTATACATATTTCTATTCATTAAATACATATTTTTCAGTGATTGGAAAAGATTATATCAAAGATAACTTCAAAATATTGCCTCAAATATAATTTTTCTTTATTTATAAGCGGTCTGGATAATAGAGCCTTTGAACAAGTCACGTGATTAAATGTCAGGTGCGTGATAGAGTTGTTTCGCGTTGAATCGTCTGCTAAATTATGCTAGATATTCATTCTAAAAGATACTTTTTTCTTCATTACAGGTGTATCTTACAGGTGAAAAATGAAATTCCAAAAAATAATCTTTCAGTTAGCTCACTGGATCTTTAATAGACTTGTGACTTTGAGCTGTTGTTAAATAAAGCCTAAGTTGTAAATGAAGCCTTGAAGGGCCTAGCTAGGCTAGAGTCTATAATAATAGAGCTAGGCTAGAGCCTATAATAGATCTAGGCCTTGTCCTAATATTTTATAATTTAAATAGGTATGGACCTTATTATATGAGCCTGGGTCTAGTAGTGGTCTAGTAATCCTAGGGCCGGTTAGGGTGTCTTTTAAGTTAAAGGAATTTTCTGATACACATTTTTTGTTTTTGAGTTCACATCAAAGATTTATGCTGTTTTGACAAAATATAAATTTAGACTTATTTCAGTTTTTTATTAAAATCATAGATCTATGTCTATATCATACAAAATTCATACAGTTGAACCTATGTTCCTGCACAAGGATTCATTACCAAATTTCTTCAAAATTAAAAAACAGAAATATATTTTAGATGTTTCTTAGGTATTCTAATTAAAATTGGTTTGTTTTGATATTCTTTATGAATCCCTCATTTTCACCTAAATTTCACAAATAAACAACTCGACAATGGCAGCAAAATCATCACCTATTTTGGTGTAAAATAAATAAGGCGAGAAAAATATGGTGCCTAATAATCATTTCTTAGTATTTATCTTTGATATCAATTCATTATAATTTATGACAAGGTTCTTACTTTAAGTACCTTTACTTTCAGTAAAATGATTGAAACAGAGGTACTGTGCTTAATGAATGAACTGTTGGACAGATGTGAACTGATGCTGGATATAAATACTTCTGAGACAACAAAATTGTCTCAAAAACAAAACAGTAATTCTTCTTCGCTCTTTGGAGAACAAGTTGCTGAAGATGCACAGTCACCTGACATACCTGAAAATCTTGCTGAAATAATTCAAGATGAATCAAATGAAACTGAATTAATATCATATCGTCTGTGTGAAGCACCATTATTCTCAGACTCTGAGGATGAAAGCTCCAAAATTCTTGTAGAGGAAATTAATAATAAATCAGAAAATTTGAAGTTATCAACACACATACAATCATACAATACAGGTAATTTTCCTTCACTAAAACTTGCTTATGAACTTATTCATAATAATTTTTCTCCGATCTCAAATTTTAAAGAAGTTTCCTCAGAAAGTGATCTGTTGAATCTTCCTCATCTTGTAGAGGTTAAAATTAGTGATGTACAGGAAATAAAAGGAAAAATGTTGGATAACCATGAAAATGATTGGAATGGTTATAAAAAGTTTAGTAAAAGTAATTCAAATTTACTTGTTGTAGAACAAGTTACTGAAGATCATGCACAGTTATCTGACATACCTGTTAATGTTGCTGAAGTAATTGAAGATGACTCAAAATCTTACATTCTTCAGAAAGAACAATTATTTTCAGACTCTGAGGATGAAAGCTCCAAAATTATCAAAGAGCAAATTAATGATGAATTTGAAAACTTGAATGTTTCCCAGATCTCAAATTTTAAAGAAGTTTGCTCAGAAAGTGATCAGTTGAATTCTTCTGTTCACGAAGAGGCTGAAATCAGTAATATTCAGGAAATCAATGGAAAAAAGTTGAAGAACCATGAAAATGATTGGAATGGTTATAATCATCGCAGTTTACCAGAAGAGGCTATAAAAATAATTTTGCCAGATGTACAAAATGCTATCAAACTGTGTACTACTGGTAATTCAAATACAAGTAATAAGAATATTGATTTATTAGGTCAAGTGAAAAGTGATTACTCAGTGAAGGCATTAGTTCCAAAAACAGACTGTTGGGATATAGCATCAGAAATACAATCAGAAACACAGCAGGGAAATATTAACCTACCAAATTTACCCTCAAATATCAATGGAATGGATACAAAAGACTTTGTGGAAAATGCTAAACTACTGGTAGATACAGCTACTGCTCAAGAAATATGCGATCCAGTTGACACTGATCATTATTCAAATGAAAGCAGTAATTTTGAAGAAGTTTTTTCTAAAACTTTTAGTGTAAATACCATAATTGATGGTTATTTAGATGATGTTCCAACTGATGTGAGCAGTGAACAAATAGTTTTAAATGCCTCAAATCCAAATTACTTTTCATTATTTGATAAAAGCATCACAAAAACTGAAGAAATATCTGAAAATGTGATAATGAATGATAAACAGGAATTGGAAGCAATGAATGATGTCAAAATATGCAAGTTCTTGAATGGAACTGAAGTGAAATTTGAAGACAATAAAGAACCTCTGATTAAATATGAAATTGATACCAATGCTGAAAATATGGAACAATTGTTTATTGATTCACAGAATGCTGACGCTGATAGGGGTTGTAAAATAGAAGAGATTGATATTGAAACCAAGGCATCTTATAATAACCATAAAACCAAAGTGGTCAGTAGCGATAAAGGAGAAAATAAAAAATGTTTTGAAGCACAGGAATCACTTGAACAATTAAATGATGATATTGGCACTTGGTACCTTAAAGCTGAAGACTGTTGCAAAATAAAATTTGCTGATCAGAATTTGAATCTCACTTTAAATGAAGTTCAAACCACTGAGTGTGATAAAAGTTTTATGGAAGAAACTGAAGTGAATGAAAAATGTACAAGAGGAGAAATAAGTAGAGAGAGAAGTAACTGCAAGAATATCGAATGTGCATGGAATAATGCAGAATGGAAAATCAATGATACTCTAGCAGACAAAGAAAGCTGCACTAAAGTAAATAGATGTTCAGATATTCATAGATCAAAATCTCAGATGAAACTCAATTCAACTGAAATGTTTCATAAAAATGTGGAAATTTTTCAGGATAATGACAGCTCAATATTGGAAGATTCCCTTTATGATGAACAGAAAATATGCAATGAGCAACTATCAACTTTAATGCATGATTCCAATTTATGTGATAATTTGTTTGTACTACCTTTCAAACATTTGAGTAATAGTGAAAATGATTCAAAATTTATGAATACAAGTAGTGATACTAATATTCAGAATTCCCAGGAATATAAGCTTATTCCATGTGCACAAGCAGTTTTCCAGGATATATCTGTTATAAATAGTTCAGGAGAATTGGAGTCAGGTGATCAAGTACAAGAGAATAAATCCAAAGAATTATTTAACGATTCGTTTAAATCGCCATCATACCACATCTCCCAGGTTGCCAAAGAGGCCACCAATAGAGAAACTACGGTTGTTAAATCAGATGTTTATAGAAGTAAAGTTGAAACACCTGATGTCTATATTGACCTTGAGGAAGACCTGGAAGATATTCTCATGTATCCAGCAACGCAATGTTTCAAACCATCCATTCGACCATCAGAAGTCATTGGTGACAGAGCAGAAACAAATAAAGCTTACCAATCTGATAATATGAATGTATTTGAGTTGGATGATGTGAAAGTACCAGATATTTATCATAAAAGAAATATATCACAAGTTTATTTAAGAAATCAAGATGCTTCAGAGATAAGTAAGTTCTGTTTCTATGCTTTTTCAGATAGGCAGCTGAATAGTGTCTGTTCAAGCTATATATATATTCCTATTTTCAAGTGAAATAGTTGAAAAGTAAGGAAGCTTTGTAGCAAGTTCAATCCTTGGGGACAATCTATCTAACCATCAGAAATTACTGAAATTTAACCTTGATTTTCCTTTTGAAAATATTTACATGCCAAGTTTATTATTGCTCAACGATCTTAAATGTTTGAATGCATTTGTAATGACTAATATATTTACTTTATTACGGATATAACTTATCTGCAAACATTAATGTCTCTTGTTTATGATCTTTGATCTACTGACATAGATTTTTTTTTTATTAAAATTATGCTAGAATGCATGATATTTTGGTGGAAAGATAAATATTATTTTTTAGAGAAATCAAGAAAAGGAAATAGTCAAATATCAAATCCATGCTTCAAGTGGAATCAGACAGTGCCTATTTCTGCAGATATCAAAGGTATGTTTTCTGTATTCTCAATCCTGAGCAAAGAACACACTTTTTCTTATCACCATGTAACAACAAGGCTTGCCAACAGTCTATGCATCCCTTATGAAGCCACTTAAGTATGTAGTTGATAGCTTTTAGGGGTGGATACAGTTCATTTAGTAATAGCTTTACAGAGAGGTATGCAGTTAGTATATGATATTCCATAGGATATTGAATAGGCAAGGAGCCAATACTGAAATTTCTTCAATGGTTTTTGATATTATCTCAAAATCACTCTTAAATATTGTCATTGCAAAACATTTTTTCAGTAGCGAGTTATTTATCTTCAAATTGCTCTCAGTTCAATATAAGAAAATTGATGATAAAAGCTGTTTTAAGTGGTTAGTTTTAAGTGCAATATTTTAATTAGGGGTTAATAATTAAAATTTTGTACATGTAATTGTATCTTCAAAAAGTTTTCTTGTTTTATTGAGAAAATACCCAATTCGAATGTTACAAAGTTTGACTCTAATGTAACAATTTTCAGGTGAAGAGGTTATCAGTATGAAACCAATGGTGACATGTTCACGTCCTCTTAGACTTGGTTTATCAAAGAAACAAAAGACAAAAACTCTGCATAGAAATTAATTTTGGCAGAGAAAAACTGTTAATTTGTGTCATTGATCACTTGTTTTTTATTATAATTGTTTGTAATTAATTTGATTGAAACAAATAAATAAATAGCAACTTAAATGGGAGAAAGTTATCTTATTGTAAAATTGTTAAATTTGTGAAATCTTTTTATAACTTGATATTGTACTCTTAAAATTTCTCTAAGCTCCACTGTGATATTAATGTAAAAATATATATAGTTTTTTGATTATTTTAATGTTTAACCAAGATTTCTTTCTCGGAGTTGCTTTGAATCTGAATTGTCTGCTTGGTACTGAACTAAGTTGTGTTTAGAAGACATTCTAAATTAGAAGACATTCTAGCTTTTGAGTGTTTTCTGGAGAATAAAGAAGGAATAAAGCTAATACTTGCAATGGAGATCTTTTGTCTATGTATATCAATAATATTGTCACTTCCAGGTTGTTGTTAAAACTCCCAAAGGCCAGTATGACAACATATCAGTAATTTTGTAATATTCTTAATTTCCATAGTAAATTTGTTTTGTTATATTAACTAAAATAACTATTATGGGATTATAATTTAGAGAAATGGTACAGATAGTTGAAATTAAGCACCATAGCTAGCACAGCATATTTAGACTTCTACATTTGTAATATAAAATGTTATATATTTATATTTTAAAGATGATTTTAGATTCAATTCGTATTGTTGTTTATTTGTTGGCTGGTCTAACTATTGTTTTGGGAAATGAAATATTTATATATTAAATAAAAGTGTTGATTGATGTTAAATGAAAATGTTAAAGGAAATAATATCTTCTACATGACAGGAAATGCCAAGCTTTTTTTCTTGTAGAATCTTATTTAATATGAAGTAAGCTTATAGGTTTTATGTTTAATAGAAGTATCATCAGTGAACGAAAAAAAAATTCTGGTTTCTGAATACAAGAATAGGGTATGGGGCAGTGTTAGCTAGCTAGCTAACCTGAGAAACCAAGACTTGATCCTTGCATAAGTTAAGATAATTCTCATCCTGGTTGAGGTTGAGATGTAGGTTAGAGGGGCTGACATGGATTAAGCATAAGGTTGGATGGAACAATAGTGTGCACATGCTAAAAATCTTTCAGAATGTATGCATCCTGGCTGTTATATTAACAAAAATATCTCATTTTATGATATATGAGCCTTTTTTGGACACTAATTTCAGATGGAGCACCTTGACAGATTTTTCAATCTATTCAGGCATACTTAATAAATAAAAGATATATAATTTTCATCAGCATATTATTTGTCTTCATGCTAATATAATTCATAAAATTTAACAAGTTGACACATAAATATAACAAATGCAATATGATTTAGTTGTATCCTTAAATATTACGGATAATTGATTGCTAGTTTCTTATTTATATATATGTCATAAGACAAATTATCTTTTTAATCTTATACTTAATTTCTGAAAAGGTTTGAACGAGAACATGCAGTAATTTATCTCTTAAAACAACCCAGAACAAGAATTTGCACGAAATAAACTATTTGAATGAGGAAGAACTATTGGTTAACAAACAAGACTTTGAATATATATGACGTCAATGAAGCTTTTTAATTCTGAAACCACGATATTGAAATCAATAACCCTTTCCTATACTAAGTCTATATTTCATATAGCTATATAAATAAACAAACAAAAAACCAGTACAAAATAAATAATCATTGCTTCACAATTCAACAAGTTTTATTGATTTCTTGTTAGAAATCATTTATATTATATAATACTTTTAAAACATATATATTAGGACTTATAGAAGGGTAATTAAATAATTTTGGTTATAGTAATAAGTATATCAAATTCTACCAATGCTTTTACTGGAGGAGACATAACCCCCAAACCAGTGAAATAATATTATGATGCTAATAGGTTAATAAACTGTTTACTATTCAAAATTTATAATTACATGTTTCATATTGGCCTAAAAATTGACTCCACTCAATTGAAACTGATATGATATGTAGTATATATAAATTAACTAGAATTCATAATTAAATAAAATGCACCACAATTAGTAAGGTCATTATATTTTAGACCCACTGATTATATCATAGGCAGTAATCAATGTAAAAAAAAATTAAACACATAACCTGAAATAAATGCTTAAAAGAATATAGTCATCTAAATATTTGTTTTACAAACAGCTCTATTTCAGGTCTCAATTTTTTAAAAATAAATAGTTTTCTGACAATTCAACAAAAACATGTAATTTTGACCTGATGTATGTAGGCATTAAGTAACATTCACACATGCAGTTTTTCCTCTTATGATGCCATTCATCAATGATGTCTTCATTCAATGAAAATATTGCCTGAACAGTCTCAACTTGAATTGTACTGAAAGCAAATATTTAGATTACTTCATTTTCTTTATAAGTTTAAAGCTCATAAATATACCTTTGGTTTAAAACAAAAAAACAAATAAATATTTTTTCCCAATAACAAATAATTTGGTATCCTCCTCACCACTAATTATAAATTAACATGAATATGATCTTGAAAACAGTATTGATAATCAGCAAATGCTTTTGTATGGACAATACTATAAATTTTGTATGTATTCATTTAATGTAAACACACTTCCTTCATAGAAATTTAAACCAAAAATGTCAACATTTTGCCAGAACTTTGTTCCGTGCAAAAGCACCCCTTCTAATTTGTAATCTGTACCCATAATTTTATCAATGTTAAGTCATTCAAAGGTTATCAATAATAACCCCAATATTTCAAATCACAAATGAAGAGAAATATGATTTACAGATAAGAGTACGAAGACAGTAGTTATGTTATAATATAAATATATGGTTCATAAATGAAGCCTGAATCACAGATAATAAATTATATTTCAAATTATTGCTTAAATATCTTTTGATTAAAATGATTAAATGCCAGGCATGGTATTTGCTAAATTTGCTGTGCTTTTGTACCAGGTAAGGAGTACAACATAGTCCAAAGCTGAAGCCTCGATTATAGTTTTGCTCTATATTTCTTTTTACTAAGTTTATTAATGTAGGTGTCGAAGCATTATGAAAGCACTTGTGTCAAAGTGATATTTTAAAGCTAAGGAACTCAATCACTAGTTAAAGGTTGTTTAGCTTTTTTAATGTTACACAACCATTTAATTATGCGTGCATTACGCTCTACCACTGAAGTTGATTGTAATGTTCTTTCTAAACAGTCTGTACTTGAATATGTCTTTTCACTTAACTTTGAAACACCACTACACACACTACGAGTGTCCGGGGAATCTAGAGAACTAATGCTTTCAAATATATCACCGTCTTTTTGAGTAGTATTATCCTGCCTCCGTAACATGGGGTCTAATATATTCCGTTCTATTCCCATACCATTGAAGAACTTTTCCAAGTCTGCACTTGCACGTGAATATCGAGCACTATTACGATCCATTAATACTGGACTACTCCTCGAATGTTGACAACTCAAATCTGAGTGCGACCTTTGAACAAACCCACTTTTATATTCCATATCCACATCTTGTGTAGAGCTCATGTCTGTACTTAATGTCATTACATTATCCACCATCATTTTCTCTTCTTCTGACATGGTATCCTGCTCAGTATCCTGCACAGTTTCCTGATTAATATTAGTCTTATTTGCTTCTTTCAGTTTATTTCCATAACGAGTTGGGACTAAACTGTGTAGTTGTTTAAAGCATGATGAATCAGGATCCACATAGTTTCTGTGAGACTTATTGATTTTTCTTCCTTGGCTTCCATTAATACAGCAGTGTGTTTCAGACCTGGTAGTTGACTGTATATTTACTCTCACTATTCCACTATCTAGCTGGTCAATTTCTCTCTTGTCTTCCAAACCGTCCGGTATATCTTGGCATAGGCTATATTCTGATTTTGACTTGGTACCAGACTTACCAAAGCTGGAACCTTGAATGCTGCCAACATAAAAAAATTAAATCCTTTATGGTTCTGAAAAAAGTCAACTATCTAGGACACAATTCTTCACATAGTACGTCTGAACAATGAAACCCAGTCATGCCTAAATACAATAATTGTGAATTGGTGCTTTCAAGTCATTATAAAAGATAATGCCAGATCAATAGAAACAAAAAATAAACATTTTAAAGTAAAACAGAAATGAGAATCAGACATGGCACATAAATTAAAATTTTCAACACGAAAGAAACAGCTTTTTCTAAAAATGTTTGAGCTCCAATCTTGTTTCCACTGATAATGCAAATAAAGCTAGGTTAGAGCCACTTTCAAGCCAGCTTAATTGAAGAGCTACAATTTGAATTTTTGATAAATGAAGCCATTTCTGAGCCAGCTTTATTGAAGAGCTACAATGTTCCCTACAAATTAGCACAGATCTGGTATGTGACTTTTAGTGGAAAAAGTTAAAAAGAAATATGTGAGGCTAAGCAATAATCTTTGCCAAAAATAGCTTATTTTCATATTTTTCACACCAATTGCTTCATTCTTTACACAATCTTCAATGAAGATGCAAATATATAGTCTGACAAAATGCCCTTGGGTAGACTATATTGCTACAAGCTGTAACTTTATATAAATTTATAGCTAATCAATGCAAAGGAAAGAACACTCAAAGAATATTGGAGAATATAATTATCTACTACCAGTGCTCTGAATAACCCAACTGTCAATTTTCGGTGTATGACAATTAATGAATGCAGTTTTTTTGGCATACTTTTTGGCAGAATTACAGTGAATATTGCCAAGTAATTTGAATGTGTTAACGTTTCAAACATTCATAACTCTAGAATACCTCAACATTAATGATTGAAGAAATGCACTTTAATCATTGATGTATTTGCTAAAGTTTATTGACTTAAGCTTAGTTAATATTGAAACAAACTAGTCTGATATTCTATAATTCAAACAATAAACCAACCTATTATCAAAGCTACAACTTTTATTTAAAGCTTGGGTACTTTTAACAAACTGAGGTCTACTGGCAGCTAACAATTCGACTGCACTCTTTCGGTGATGAGCTGCAAGAAATAATGCAACAATTATTTCTTATCATGCATTAAGTGTTATATTTAAATGAGAATTATAAATACTTACTTCCTTGATAATAAAATCTCTTGAAATTTGAATTCAAAAGTTTCAATTGAACTTCCTCAATCCATAAAAAAATGAGAATAAATATTTTGAAGTGAATGAGAGTATAGCTATATGGAGTGAGGTATAGCAGGTTATTTTGGGGAAGAAATATTAGGTTTCACCTTCTAACCTATTTATAACATCTGGTTCTCTACATGAACTATGAACTGCTATACTTTCACTATACTGGTACTTAAACACAAGAACAGCACAATATCTTCCAATCAAAATCTTTCAGAGTATTTAATAGTACAACCACAAAAACACAAGCTCACAGAAGCTCTGATAACTCTGAATTAATCTTAATTAATTAAAATTAATTAATCAGAAAATTTACAAATAAATTTGTTTTACATGCATGCCATTTGTCTAAGGATGTCTTCAAAGAATGATCCTTTGGGCCACTTTTAAATTTTTCATCAAATAGACACTTGCATTTTCATTCTACCTGTTGACATTGTAAAATCTACATGTGTTTTCTGAATTTGTCCATATTCTGCATATTTACAATTGTAGCACATTCATTATAGGGAATATAAAGAGGTTTTCGAAAAATTTGTATGCGTGTAAAGGACACTGATAGGATCAATTTGCACCATTACAATTATCAATAAGACGTCTGCGGTTCCTGCAATTCCTGTAAAACTAAGAGTTTGATGACGTTACTAATCACAAAGGGCCTTATGTGATAAAGCATATTTTGTGACATGGGACACTTAGTTTTAGTAGAATTGCAGAAACCATAGATGTCTTATTGAATATTGGTATGGAGCAAATCTTATCAGTGTCCCAGATACACACACAAATTTTGGGATATCTACAATCCCCTTTTTTTGTTTTTTAACTTCATTGATTTTAGTAAACTATTTACTCCAAAAGATTTTGACACAAATTCAATTCGTTACAATTTTTATTTTGTTTATAAATTTCAAATAGTTGTTTATCACTGTAACTTATTTAGATCTAGTCCTCCACTACATTCATTCAAATGTTTTGCCTTGCTTCAAGTAAAGTTTGTTTAAGTTTTAAAGAGGTAGTATGCAAAATATTCGTTACATAAAATGTTGTAGACGTTACCTGAAAATATTTCTATTTATATCAATGTATCTACTTGATTAAATTGATTTCTTTTTAAAAGGGTTAATTAAAAACGAATTGTAGTAATTGCTTCCTAAGCAGCTTAAACTACTTTTGATGTTTGGTCCTCATAAATACTCAATTTTGTATATGGAAACCTTTGGAGTACCTAGAGACATATTTCTCTACAATTAAATGTAAATTTTATTTTAATCCCTACAGCTATTAAACAGCATAATTAATTTAAAATGGTGATGTAAACCCTTTTATTAGTTTTGACATTAACAAATTAACAGCAGAATATTTATAGTAAAAACTTTTAGATAAGTTAAGAGAAACATTTCTCCAGATTTTGGTGTATAGTTTTTCATAAATTTGACCCAAGATTAAAATATAATGCCCCTTTAAAGTATTGAAAATTCATGAAATTTGTTAAATTATCATGTCCAGCTGTTACTATATAGAATAAGTATTATCTGTTTTCCTGGTATTTCATTCTATTATTACCAGTATTACACATCCATATATATGATTAATCACTGTATGGACATGAATAATCCTTTATTGATTAATTCTACCTGTAGAAATTTATCTTGTGTTGCTTGGGGCATTTTTTTAAAATTAATAGTCTAAATTACAACTTTAAATTGATGAGTTTTTCCTTGATGCTCACATTCAAATTTTAGGGCCTGACTCTTACCCAAATTAATCATTCTAAATTTTGAAATGGTAACCAAATATGACAAATAAGTCAGTACATGTATATGGAAGGGGACACTTTACAGATGTTTTACAATTATCACATCATAATAGTCAAAATAAAGCACATGGAGAAAATGAATTTTTTGTAATTTTTAACAGTATTTTTGATTCAATATTATTTATAATATTAACTTTCAAATCTTTATAACTCATGGAACGAGCCGGTTGTACTATCTTGGCACTCAAATTAATAAATCGAATTTCAACAATTATAAATACTGATGTGTGAATTATAATATCAGCTTACAAATACTGCTTATAATCTTAGAATGACATTTGCATAAATAGAAATATAGAAATTTTTAAGTTTAAATTGAATATGGACATATCTCTCAACCTGAAAAATTTAACCAATAATGATCCACATTTTGGCTGATAAATACCCTACGTTAAAAAGAAATTTCAAAAAGATATGTCATCATGCCTAGATATTTAAATCAAGTCATTTTATAAGAATATCATTAACATTTTGAAGTTGATTTTCAAAGTCACAGAACAATAATTGATAAAATTAAATTTTCCTACAAGAATGAGAAGGCTAATTGTAAACCTGAAATTTTACTTTGTAACTTTTTATGTACTCACCAAATAGTTGTCTGTTGGTTTTCGTTCTCAAGTAGTCAGGACCTTTATCTAACAGTTGTTTGGGCTGTTTACCCATTGTACATGATGTCACAATTAAAGCCATCCCCAAACTATTTCCTGAATGACCATAGAGCCACGGCGTTTCATTTTAAGAGATTTCCCAATCTATTACAAACATGTTCCACCACGAATATATGTTACGGATTAATAAGATGTACTGTTATTATCATACCGTCATACGTCATATCTTTCTGGGGTATACCAGTCTTTACTGTTATAGTTACCTGTGGTCTATAAATAGCACAGGTAAAAAGGAAATTTACCTGTGATCACGTGACTTTGCTGTCCCAACCTTGACATAAAATTGTTATTTCATTTTATCAGAATATGCTGTAATGCCACAGTTGGCAAACTTTGTCGTGGTAGGGGAGATAACTTCTATGCATTGTTTCTAAATGGTATAAATAAATGTGCAAAGTATTTTTATATTGCTTAATATAAAAAAAAAAGGAAGGCAAACTACCACTTGTAGTGCCGTATTGGAGCGTCATAAACTGTAGTCGAGTTATAACCCTACCTTTGAATTTAGACAGGACCAGTGAACATGTAAACCCTACGGTGCACTCGGGAGAGCGACCAATTTAGAATGAGCCTCTACCGTGCGACGAGGCAGCGGGAGACCCGAATACGTGAAACTTGTGTTTAAGCGGGACATCGATTCTAAACAGATCTGCCGACGAAACAGCGATCTATGTTCAGCCGTGTCAACCAGACACACGCTCCAATAAGACGATGTCTGAAACAGCTATATAAGCCCCCGTTCAATCAGCGATACATAGTATCTGGTTAGTACACATAACTTTTTAGTGTTAAATAAAATACACCTATAATGCTTCTTAATACAATAAATACCATAAACATAATACAACATATTTACATATTTTGATAAAATTAACAAATTACAACTTTTGTCAAAAATTACTTTTTCGTCGTTTCAAAATAAATTGTTCAAGGGAGGTAATTTGATTGAATGTGGAAAACAGGAAGAACACAAATAATAATGTACATGTTATACAGGTTTATAAAATGAAAACAAAAAAATGAAATCATCATCTTGATGATAATGTAAAATGAATATTATATATGCCATCATGTGATTTTTGGAATGATGAAATGATCTAACGAACAGAAGGATAACATGGTAGGATCCAACGAGAAGATCTTTAGCTCAGTGTATTTAAATTTAGCTTCAATGATTGAATCATTTTCTTAGTGTATTGTCACATATTAATAGTTAAAGTTATGAATTACTGCCCATTTTATTTTTTTTTGTCCCACAAAAGACTTTGATCCGTTTTAGCACTTGCAAGTCTCATTATTCATTAGCTGTCGAATATGTCTGGTCACTACTTCTAGTTTTAGATCTTTTATTCTGATAGTCAATTATTTCTGGAAAGTGTTCGGAGCGATCAGAGGCATGGGAAAGCCAACTCATTAGAAAGTCTTGTCCTATTAAAGCTTTCGGCAGTTTTCGTGGATATCGTCGTGATGCCGGTTGAATTTCTGGTGGTTCTCTCTTACCAAACACATCCTTTGCTGGAGAATGATTAGATCGACCATGATGATTTGTAGAGTATTTTAAATCATTCCGACCATGGCGTCGTGTATGAACTAGACATGTTTTGGAATTTATAACTGGAAGACTACTTCTGATACAAGATTCTTCTTGTGAATTAGCACGAGCGACCATTTCAATTGGGCATCGGTCTGTCTGAGCGGATTTCTTTGTGTTTGCCATGCTCAATTTCATACGTTCATTTAGTTCCCGTCACATTATATCTTATCCACAGAAATAAATTATATTTTCACTCCAAAATTATATATTACCACTCTATCAAAATTCATATATTCTGTTCAATTTAAAGACTTTAAATCATAATGATATTCACACAGAGATCTGCTTTAACACATAAAATATCTATTCATGTTAATCCATTTCACTTCTTTTAATCCTTTAAATGTGCACTCTTCTAATATTCCCACAGAAAAATAGTCGAACTGAATCGAATCGTCAATTTTTGATAAGAAAACACTTAATAAAATAAGATAAGATAATAAGCTTACGTTTTTAGCAGGACTAACAATAATAAATGGCTATAAGATTGTAAATAAGTATAGATTATTTATGAGTGGATACTGAATGAATGCAAAGAATGAAAATCAACCTAATCCATTGTAATCCGGGTTAACAGATCAACAATGCTCATTTCTATAATAACTATAACTACAATTCTCTTTAAAGATATGTTGCCCTCATGTCCCCGATCGTCTTATATATATAATGCTTTGACAGTTTGATTATTACACTTATTCATATTTTCTATATTGCACACAAGAGACGTGCAGGGTCGGCAAATGTATGTATTTTCCATAATTGACACATATGATTCATTAGGCTACAAATCAATCAGTTGCAGGTAAAGGCAGGAGTAATATTTGTCTGCGCCATTACAGCTTTAATTGAGTGTAGTTTTCTGATCGATTTTGACAAATCGTTATGGCAAAAAAACCGAAACAAATTATGGTATAAGATTACAGCAACATAATCAGTAGAACACGGGCTCCTTAAATCTATAATATATCATATAAAGCAAATAACAGTGACAGCCAGATTGTGTCGTCATCATGTTTTTTTATCCGATCAAAGTTTAGTCTAATATCGATTTGCTGTGGCGGAGTTTCGAACTTTTATAAATTTTACACCTATTTAAAGATGTTACAAAAAACAACAAAGTTAATCCATCCTAAAGATAATCGGTATTTTATAATGAATTGCTGCAATGCATCATCGTGCCCTTTATTAGACTGAATGTAAGCACATGGTTACTCATATGAAGACATGGAAAATCGTTTGGTTTGTCATTTTTTTTAGTTGTATTAAAACTGAGTTGTTGCCGTAATGGGAGATGGTCGATTCCTGTAGATGTACCACAACTGTTTGACTATGTCTGAAGTAACCATAGCTCCAGCGTTTGCATCTAAAATCTTTAATATAAACATGCCATCTCCTTTCAAGTAATCCAATACAAACTTCTTCACATGACTTTTATCCTGTTCACCACAAAGAATATTCAACAATAGTAAATAATCATGCACAAACGATAATCTCTTCCTGTTGATCACGATGAGCAATGTCCATTTAATTAAGCTAATGATGGAAACAACGCAGACAAATACTAGCCAGAACCATATAAATATGAAGATTTTTTCACTAAAAAGATTAATGGACAGTACACACATACTGGTATAATCATTGACATTGTTCATTTGACGAATCTGGTAATCGCATAGGGTAACAAGGGGAAATCGATGAGACTCCATGAAAGGTTCGCCATAGATCATGTTTTGAATTACCTCACTACCATACATAGCATACCAACCACCAAGAAACTGATTCAACAAGAAGAATTGGGTTACAGCATTTACACAATACAGGACTTTAATGAAATAGTAAAGAATCATAAGATACCATCGACTGGCACTTTCAAATAAAAAATATCTGGGCTTCTGAACTTCATCGCCGAGCGAAGGAATCGTAACCAACTTTTTGTTAAACGCTAACCACCTGTCCAAATAATCTGAAATATTTTTCACGTTTTCATCGTGTGTAGTTGAAAGACCATATTGGGTCTTATATGCTAAACTAACAAAATTAGAAACATTGAACCCAGAAAGTTCACAACACATTCGCCATAATATATACGGAAGTTTGAATAGGAATGCCATGAATAGAAGGATTATTGGCACCCATTGATAATATGCAAGTTTTGCTGCTTCTCGTTCCCTTTTTGAAGATGGTACCACATCCTCCATCTGCACATAATATGTACTCTGGATCCAACAATTTGATAAAACATACGCTGACTGAGCTGGTTTAAAGTCCGCTGGCGTCCAGCACTGTATCGGATCTCCTACAAACTGTTTCACTCCAACTATTATGGCGAATATTATCAGTGTAAGAACTGTATACAGGTGACTTATTCGATCTGCCAATAAATCATCATTTGAAGATGTTAGTCTTGAAAAGGCTGCATAACTTAAAATGGTATTGACTCTGAAAGAAAACAATAAAGTACAGACTGATCGCAGCAAAATTGGAAGGTGCTTATATAAGCCCAATAACCTCTACATTTTCGTAATTAAGAGTTCAGTGGTTCCCAACCTATTTCAGCCTTCATACCCCTGGAGCAATCACGTGGACCTTTCACACCCCAAAAATTTGTTTCATCCATATTTCCAGCATGTGATGATGTGAGTTGCTCTCTCAACTCATAATAAATTCTTCTCCTACACCAGTTGGCCACACCCCTGACACCCTAGTCCCATGCACACCCCGGGGAACCAGGGTGTTAGTTCTGTAGCCTATAATTTCTTGGTTCCTTTATGGGCACTTGGAAGTAGTATGATATTTTAAGAATGTAAGCCTAGTCTACTATAATTCAAACAACAAAGGCTAGACTACATCTTTGATTAACGAAATCATTCCACAGGCTTAGATAGGCCTACAGTAGGCTATCTATAGGCTGAAACTAAGCTCGGTTGATGTGTGTCAACCACCCATTTTTTTTTTTTGCCAACTTATTTCTTATCTCTTTGTATGGGGGTGTCAATCGATGCTATCATTATTCCAAGGATAACTTACGACATCGTAACAAGTCACTGACATTGGCTAGGCAGGCAGGCCTGGTCAAACACGTAACTTTTGAAAAGCAAAATTATAAACACGTGATATTTCCCGCCAAAATTACAAGGGCAAAAACAATTTTTATTACTTTTCATGTAACGGAAATTTGATTTAAAATGCCATTTCTCTTCACATTCAATCTTAACAATAACTGAAAACTATTGTCAAAGTTTTTGTTTATTGTCACCGTTTACAAAATCTTTCGTTTCATCTCGGCGTTCACGTTTTCTCAACAACAACAAAAAAGAAACCGGAAGTACATGGAGAGTTATCGCGACATAGACAAGCATGGCGGGTTGCGATTTTCTTTTAAAAGCTTTAGATTCGGCTGAAATTAATGAATTATCTCAGCCTATAAAGGGCAAATTAGATTCCTTTTTAGGTGGCCTAGAAGATGAACTCACTGAAGCCAAATCCCGATTTGAAAATCTTCGAGTAAATTCAGGTAAACTAAGATGATTACTAAGATACTGCAGATACAAAATCAAAATGTAAACAATGAATGAATGTCAGAATGATGATAGGCTAATTGACGATAATATCTGACGGTTAAATTGGAAGTTTGGGTTTGTAACAACATTTTTAGTGACTTAATTATCAATGATTGAATAATAAATCAAGTTTAATTTTCGATAGGCCCATTTTGATACAGATAATGCATTGGAATATTTACATTCCCAGGTCGCAGACAAATAACATTAACACAGGAATCATAATAGAAGAAAATGAGGATTTTTTTGGAAATATTGATTATCACTATGTGAATATCAGTAAAAAATAGAACAGTTTTAATTTGAATTAGCTCATTTTGAAGCGAAACTCATCACATTTTTAAAACTACATTTACTATTAGTTGAAATAATGATATGATATAATGCTGATTATTTTTTTCAGAACAACAATATAATGAATTGGAAAGAAAGTTAATATCTACTGTAACACAGTTAGAGACAGAATCTGCTGCTAAACTAGACTTAAAGAATAAGCTTGAAGAATTAGGTAATGAACATACTTCCCTGAAGTGTTAAAACTTAAATTTCTTAGATAAGTGGAGAGAAAATCAGTCTGCAGTTTATGCATGTAATCTATACTTACCTGTGCATGCTAAAATGTGTTTAATAAAAAGACACAATAAACTTATATAATGAATTTTACATTTATACTCTTTTCTTTAACTATTTAAGAGAAGAAATTATCAGAAGAAGATGACAAGTTATCATCTATACAATCAGATTATGAAAAAGCTCATGAAGCTGAGGTATATTTATTTTCTTTAAGATCATAAGTGCAAAAGAATGTGATTGAAATTATGCTCTGTCCTTTCATTTTTGGGGAGGTTTGTTTATTTCTTTTTATGATATGATATTGAAAGGATGTGATTACAAATTTGACAGATCAAATCCTTAAGTTGCAAGTAACAAATAACAAAGAATTTACAATTTAATAATTATTTTAACAGCTCAAGTTTACCAGACTGGCACAAGAACTTGAAGCTGATAAGAAAGAACTTACTGATATGGTTCAAAAGAAAGACAAAAAGATAGAAGCTTTAAATGGTGAATATTGAGTCCTTTATATTTAATGATGAATATATGAATGTAAACAGTGTTCAGATTTTTAAATCTTTGAAATTGTATTAGTGAAATTATTCAAATCATTCAATTTTCACAGATTTAAGAAAGTTGTTTGAATGGTAAAAAATAGCTCATTGTAAATACACAACCTTTCTTTACACATTTACAGAGGAATGGAAAAATTTAACAGAAAAAGTTTCTGAAGGAGATAGATTAAGATGTGAACTTCAGGCTAAAGTTTCAGAGTATCAATCAAAAGATGTCACAAGAGAGGTAAAAAAGAAATGATTCCTTTACTTGCATTAAACTAAGGTCACATGTTCAATGCATGTCAATATGGAAGAGCATTCCATTTTATGTCACTTTTCATTGTGCATTTAAAATTAAGTCCAGTTTTGAAAAAAATATGATTAGTGTACCAAGTTCTGTTATGAAATCATCTGGTGCAGCAAGTGAGTGAATATCTAAAGTTATGAAGTAAATGGTAATGATTAATGTTGTATTTACTTGACAGTTTAAAGAATCAAAGTTAGTACAAGAAAGAGATCAGCTATTAGAACGTGTTGAATGGTTGAATAGTCAAGTAACAGAAAAATCTAATGCATTGATAGCTGATAGAAAAGAAAAGGTACATTAATAAAGAGAGCAGTCTTTGACAAATGAGCCCTGTCTCTTCATTTATTTTTTTTTTCAAGGGATGGGCTGTAACGCAAGTGGTTGTGTTGGTTTCCCCCTCCCTAGATAAAATTTAGTGATTTGTAGTTTTTGCATGGAAGAATGATGCCAGCTGTGAAGCTATTGTATAAAAACTATGCTCTGTTTGGTTTCAGACATACTAATCTGAATTCTTCTTAATCTGAATTTGCAAGCTCATGTTGATCTCTGTGAAGATGACCATATTCTATAAATGTTTATTTTGTAAGCTATTGACAATGCTAAATATTGTTGTAAGCTGGTCATGTATATTAAACATTTTCACAATTTTTATGTTACAGAGTGTGAAAGTTTTAGAATTGATGTCCCAGTTGGAGATCAAGACAGATGAGGTGGGTTTTCATTATATATTCTTATAATAATTCTGTCTATTAACAAAGAGCTGTACTATGAAATAGTATTTTCTGGAAAAAAGTGATTATGTCCAATTGTATCATGAATATTGTTTTGTTTTAAAGCTATCTCATGTGAATGATGTTGTAACTGGTTTAAAGAAAACCAATGGTGATCAAGGCATAAAGATTAATGAATTAATTCAAAAACTGAAAGATGTAAGTAATGAATTTTTATCTGTGACAAGAGTTTTTGTGAGATTCTTTCATTAAAAGAAAACTTTCTCTAATGAAATTGCAAGTCTTCATATTCTCATGAGGATACTGTTGTATAAATGGTTTGGTAACCACAGAGATGCATTTTTATGTTATGTTAACATGTTATGTTTATTTATTCTGATACTGATTTTTAGGCAAGAGATGCTCAAATGCAGTCAGATGAACAATTCAGACAGGAAATTAAAGCACAGACTAAATTAGTGGATCTTTATAAGGTAAGACAGTTCAACATTTTAACATGAATTTTAGATCATTTTCAAAGGATACTTTTATAGCTTTCATTTTGTTGATTTATAAATATAAACAATGCTATTAATTGCTTGCAGGATTCCGCCAGTGATAATGAAAAAAAGGTTGAAGAATTAGTAAAAGCAGTTGAAGATATGCAGAATATGTTGAAAAATGCTGCTGAGGGTAAGTGACGTTGAAATTCAATTGTTCTCTTCTACAATCTTTTATTATCATATTCATTAATGTTATACACCCATAACCACTGAAAACTTCTTAAAAATTCATTCTTCAACTTGAGAAGTTGTCAGATATTTCCATCCAGTACTCTTAAACCTTTTGACCTGTACTTAAACTGGATTTTGACAGGATGTTGTGAGAATTATTGGTTGGATGAGCTAAAAATCTTCAGAATTTCTCTAAATTTTGTGCCTCTTTAAAATGGAGATATTAATCTAAATGTCTGTCATTTTTCTCTGTTTTTCTTCTAGCTCATAAAGAATTAAAAGAACAGGGACATTTGGAGATTGAACAATGTATGGACCAAATACATGAAAAAGGTAAATTGATCTCTGGTTTTACTACTTATGAATATATCAATAAACTGAAATTTGTTTGTGTGTTTCTTGATGAAGTAATTTTGAAATTGTACAAAACTTAAAGTTTTGATTGATGATGTGACAATTTAACTTGTTTATTTTAAGAGTTGAAAATTGAAAACTTAGAAGAAGAGTTACGTAATGCTAATGATTTGATTATAAAGATAAAAGGCGAAGGTATGAAATATTGGAAATTTTTTGTGTATCATTGTGGGGCATACAATTAAATACATGGTGTTTTTTAGCTTACTTTTTCGGGGTTGTCAGGTCATTTTTTATTGAAAGTAGGTGTGTTCTTTTGCCTATGTATAGAAATTATAAGACATCAGTAACAAATTTTATTTTGTTGTACTATGTATGATTTGACTTTCTGTGAGCACAATACAAATTAGTAATAAATTTGGTGAACTTTTGAGTTTTTGTTTAACAAAAATTGACATTCTGAGTTTAATTGTTGTGAATGAGTATTGTCTGTATATTTGTAGGTAATATGAGTATTAGTGCTTTAGAAACATTATATCCTACAGCAGCTGCTACCAGTAAAATTTTAAAATCTGGCATGACTTTAACAGAGGTTAGTTTTTTATAACAATTTCTTCATTGACCTGGCTTAGCATTATTATTTATTTAGGTTCAATTTTACATTGTTTCATTTGTGGACCAATCACAAATTTAGAAGGAGGTTACCCTGAAAATATTCACTAAATTATTCTTCATGAAAAAAAATCCATACTTTTATTTTCTTCTTTTGTCTTTTAGATATACAGTGAATATGTCAAGGTATCAGACAACCTACAGGCCGAAAAAGCTGAAACAAGTCAGCTAAGAATTTATCTAGATGAAATTGGAAAGGTCAGATTAATTTACATTCACTTATATTTTGTGTTCAAACAATTCCTGAAGTTAGATTTGATATGCATACTGATATTTACACCACAATAATATGATAAGTTCTCAGATACGTGTTATCTGCATGTAATGTGCATGTGTTCTTGTCTTTGATATCTACATTGGTCAATTTTTTATGTTTTATTACAGGAATTAGAAGAAAAAGCTCCATTATTGGTGAGACAACGTGAAGATTATGAAGCTGCTTTACAGAGTAATAGTAGAATGACTATACAGTTAAATACTGCCATGGTGGTTAGTGTGAAATTCTAGTTTTGTGATATATTTATACAAAGTTCTACTTGATTTTCATATGTCCAATAGAGCCAATATAGATATGTTCAATATA